CTTTAATCTAAAAATATATTTTTACGGTGTGTTCCTTTCTTTAAAGTTGCTAAGTAAACCTTTGCACAAATATAGCAGTTTAGCCAATACCAGGTTTTGAAAGTGCTACTGATGATGTTGAGGTTTCTTATCGAAAAATTTTCTTGGACACACAATAACGAATGTTAACTACTCTTTGCAAACTGCTTCCCTTTTACCCATCAAATCTAGATTTAATAAAAAGATAACTCATGTATGTAAATTATTTTAAGGCATGTCACCACCAAGTACCAGTTAAATGCAACATTAGCGATATTTTGAAATATTTTGAAAGAAAAAAAAACATTGGCAGTAGATGACAATCAAAGAAATGTTTTTAATGTGTTGCATTTAAATACCTGGTACCAGTACTTAGTGGATCATACCAAAAGTTATTGTTAAACCCCACACAACTGCTGATAGGCCTTCATTAGGGAGTATCAGACTAATGCTACAAAGACAATAGTGATGCAAACAAAAATCGCCATAGGCTTTAGTACACAACGTACAAGCCAACATCTCTACACATGTATCTCACTTTTTGTCGTCACTCTGCTGTAACTGGACGGCAACAACTTGCACCTGGCTATGGCATACAAGGTACCCTATGAGAATTAGCCTGGATTCATTTTTGCACTGCATTAACCTTACACTTCCTGTTTTATTACTTTAGGATAACCCAATGACTGTCTTGTAATTTCTGCAATTTTAATGAAAACAGTCGAGTAAAGGTTGTTATTAAGAATAAAACTCTTACCACCTTTCCAATCAGATCGTGTAATTCATTTAGAGTTGATCAAGTCAGGTTTATCCTGACTCAAGAAGGCTAATATTATTAATACATTTGGGACTTTAAACAAATTGCTACAGCGACCTCTACTATGGTCGTGGATGCGAGTCCTGAAGAGAGTATGTCACTGTGGCCCATCAAATTTCAACCTTATGCAAGTGGCACCCAAAGAGTGACTACAGGGTCTCTCGTTCGTTTGCTTTTGCTGTTAGTAAAACACAGGGAAGACTAAATTGCTGGGGAACTAGAAGTGTCAAATACTTCCTTGATTAAGCGAAAAACAATATGACAGGTTTTAAACCACCGCAAAATAGGGGAAAAGCACATTTTTATTCTCATGTAGAAACGACTATGCCATCACATTTGGTTCTGTGGTGAAAGGTCATTTTCAAGCATGTGCCCTGCATCACTTTACTTCCAGTTGCCAAAGTAGCAGTCACTGTAGCAATTGGTTTTAAGTCTTTATTACTGACGTCCTGCCCATGAGGGGCAGTTTTTTGGTATTGGTCTGTCTGAAAGGTTTTTATCAGCCTCTCTTGTTATTTTTGCGGCTGTTCTTTTTTGCCTTTTTGTCATACGTGCCTCATAAGAGGCATCAAGAACAGCCTTGATCTTTTTCAACCTAGATCTTTCCCAGCGTAGTGGCTTAATGTGCCTTGGTGGTGGACCCCTGCTCCCATCTTCATTGTTATCACTTTCCTCTGAAGACATGAATTCCACAGCATTGGGAAGGTCTAGCAAAGCCTTTATTTTGGTTTTGTCGTCTGCAGAAAGATGCGCCTTCTCCAACACTTCGGTGCGATACGTCAATTTCTGAACACCAAAAAAGTTCATTTAGTCACAGTGGCATGACTACTTTGAAAAACATTAACAATTACCTTTTTCTTCAACAATAGTTTAGTCTTGCAAAAAAAGTCAACCTAAATATTTTGAATCTTTAGAGTTTGTTCTTGCTGTCTACTCTGACATAGCTGCCACAGCCAGAGGTTTTTGAAATTCCCTGACTTTTTCCTGACAAATGTATGAGTCAACAATTTCACAAATTATTACAGTTTACTTTTGAAAAACAAATGATGTTAGGAGGAATTGAATAAACATGTTAAGATTTGGTAACCATAAATTTTCAGTCCTATATGTAAAAAGTAGCAATTGCAATATTGCTGGAGAAAATTTTAAGCTGTAGGAGGATGGGAAAAACATTTCTTGCCACCCTGACATGGTTGAAAATTTTAAAATTTTCAGGGATTTATATGAAAATCTTTTCAGTTTGAGTGTGTGGGAAGAGTGCATTTGGTGCTGTTTCAGTTGCTCCCCCCAAAATAGCGTTTTCGTTTTTACAGAGAGGTGAACACTAGACTGCTTGCAGTCCACCTTTTCTCTTAAAATCCGTCTGGTTCTTATCTCAGCCAGCCCGAGAGCAAACCACGACGTTATGTATAAGAGACTGCTCGCAGTCTAGGGGAACACTTGATCAACTATTTCAAAAGGCTACTGGTCTTGAGACCTTTTGTCTTGAGAACCCAGATACTTTATATGAAACTAATAATGTGTTATTAATAATATTAATGACTTGTTTTGTTCTTGTTACTGCTACAGCGTATTAATCTTCTTTTTTAACTCTTTTAGCTTCAGATCCATGTTGTAGCGAGGATATTGATATGCCAACAAGTACCTTGAATACTGAAGAGGTGGGTTACTAAAAAAATCATCACTTTTGAATCAACTTGTCTATGTTGGGGTGATGGTGGGTGTTGGTTACTCCTTATTAATGGTTGTCTTCACCAAAACGCTTAAAGGGCTTTTTACTTTAATTCATTGTATGCCCTTCTGAGGGCATTTTTAATAAAACTAAACTTAACATGAATGAACTTACAATTTTAATTTAATTTTTTTTTGAAAAAGTATCATTGCAATCTTTCTTGAATTGACTTATTTTCTGGTGTTATTATCATTGTATATATTTTTTTGCTTTCAACAAACCAAGAACGCCACTCACATCTGCACTTAAGGGCATTTGCGTGAGTCTTTGAATTTAAAGTGTCAAAACTGAAAATCGGGCCAAAAAAGTATATGTTGTATGTCTTAGCATTTTGAAAGGTTCAGTTATCAGGTAACAGTTCTAATGTTGAATTCAACTATGTTTTTACTGTAGGAAATCAGCTTAGATGAAGAGGAACCTTCAGACTCGCAGAATAGTGAGACTGATGAATCGGATGGTTTTGTTGACGATGAAATTGAAGATTCCGATTTGCTTGAAGATATTGCTGGTGCTATTCACACTGATGGGGATAGTCAACCAATTCCCGAACCTGTAGAACATCCGTCTCGTCGACTGCAATCCCTTCTCATGTGGACTCTTTACTTTTTGATTGTTTGGCAGTACTGCCACTTGATAAGTGACAACGCCCTGCTTATGCTGCTAAGATTTTTTAAAGCCTTCTTAGTTTGTATTGGAAGTATTATTCCAAATGGTGCTGGAGCAGATTTGGTCCTCTCTTTAGCCGCCCTTCTGCCGATGACAATGTACTCTCTACGGAATTTCTTGGGTATTGATAGGGATAACTTTGAGAGGTACGTTGTATGTCCCAAGTGTACAAAGTTATACAGACCCGAAGATTGCCTACGAAGAGTCGGTAATCAAGTTTTGCCAGTTGTCTGTGACAACATTCTGTTTCCACGATCAAGGAGAAGGAAGGCGTGTGGCAGCAAGCTTGTTAAAAAAGTTATCTTGAAGTGTGGCACACCTAAGTATTATCCTCTTAAAGTCTATTGCTATAAGAGTGTGATTGATGCGCTTGAGACATTCCTGAAACGCCCAAACTTCGAAGAAGCTTGTGAACTTTGGCGCGATCGACAAACTAGTGAGCAGTTATATGGAGATATTTACGATGGTGCAGTTTGGAAGTCTTTTTACCGGTGGAATAATCGCGAATTTCTCGCCTTACCTCGAAGCTTTGGCCTGATGCTTAATGTCGACTGGTTTCAGCCATTCAAACATCGTAAAGATATATCTGTCGGAGTATTATATATGGTGGTTATGAATCTTCCTCGCTCAGAGAGATTCAAGCGGGAAAATGTCATTATCGTTGGCATTATCCCTGCCTTGTCGAAAGAGCCACCATCGCTGAACACATTCCTAAACCCACTGGTGGACGAACTTAATGTGCTGTGGCGAGGCATAAAGGTGAAAACAAGGAAGTCCCCTTTCGAAGGATCGGATATACGTGCTGCCCTCATGTGCTGTGCTGCCGACATACCCGCTGCACGCAAACTATGTGGCTTTGTAGGACATAGTGCGAATCGTGGCTGCTCACACTGCGACAAGTTTTTCCCGGGTGGATTTGGAGAGAAAAAGGATTACAGTGGCTTTGATCGCAGTACATGGCCCAAACGAACGGACGATTCACACCGACAAAAGGCCAGAAAGTTGGACAAGTGCAAAACTAAGACCGAGAGAAAGAAAATGGAAGCTATGCTGGGAACGAGATATACGAGTCTGTTGGAGCTGCCTTACTATGGTAGTATTACAATGTGCGTGATCGATCCAATGCACAATTTGTTCTTAGGAACAGCAAAAAAAATGTTTAAACTGTGGTGCGAGAAAGACATTTTGACCAAGGAAAAGCTTAAAACAGTTCAGGAAAATATTGAGAAAGTGGAAGCTCCATCCGATCTAGGGCGACTCCCTGGCAATATTAGCTCAAACTATGGAGGCTTTACCGCATCTCAGTGGAAGAACTGGGTGTTATATTACTCTATGTATGCTCTTCAAGGTGTACTGAATGAAGAACACATGAAATGTTGGCAGAATTTTGTCTTGGCTTGCCGTCACCTTTGCAAGCCAACCATCTCGAAAGCAGATGTTGTAATCGCTGATGGAAAGCTTCTTGATTTTTGCAAGAAGGTCGAATCGCTGTATGGTAAATCTGTAATAACGCCCAATATGCATCTTCATCTCCATATAAAGGAGAGCGTAGAAAACTACGGTTGTGTGTACGGCTTTTGGTTGTTTAGTTTTGAAAGGTATAATGGTTTGCTTGGAAGCTTTCCAACGAACAACCGAGAGGTAGAGGGCCAGCTCATGAGAAGATTTTTGACAATGAGTGCCCTTGATGATCTGCAGTACTCAGTGCCCTCAGATTTTAAGGACTCCTTTCATCCATTGTTCAGCGACGTCAGACAAACCAACTTTGCTGAGGGTCACATGGAAACGACTAGTTCTTTAACTTGGATGAGAGCCATGAATGGCGCGTTAGAACCGAATTGCAATGCGTGGACGGATCTCAGTGTGATTAACCTGCCAAGTCGGTATCGCCTCTGTTGCTTTGATAGTGATGAGTTGGTCCAGTTACGGAGTACATACTGCACGTTGTATCCACATTTGGATCTAGCCACAGCCTTTCTCAACTCTACGTACAAGAAGTATTCGTCTCTGTGTGTAGGCGAGGAGCGCTTTGGCTCTGGTACTGAAAGCCGCCTCTATAAGCACGCAAGGGTGATGGCGTCATGGGTTGGCGATGAAGGCGAAATTTCGTTAGGAATTAGCAGACCGGGCCGCGTGAAGTATTTTTTTGAACATTCATTTGTTATTGATAAGAAACAGTATGGACATTGTTTTGCTTGTGTGCAGTGGTTTAAAGAGTATCCTAACAATTCGCTATTTAAGAACCCACTGTCTGTTTACTATGCTAAGGTATTTAAACTTCCCGGTCCTGCAACATTCATTCCTGTTCAAAGAATTCAGTCTCGATTTGTTGCTATTAACAGAAGGTACAACAACGTTGATACTGTAATCGTGTGTCCTCTTCTCCCGAGGACCTTCATTTAGAACTCCGATAGAGTATGCTTGTTGTAACTTAGGATTTTTACATGTAACTACATGTCGAAAACGAACGAATTTATCATATACTTTTTGCAGTTTGTTATAGAACGAATACTGCAGATGTGCCTTTCATGTACCGTTCATCGAAGTGTCACTGGCTTTAACATTGGGCTAAAGCTAGTGCAGGTTTCTTTGTTTTGTTGGGCAAATCTCAGCCTTGGATATGTGCTTGAAATATTCTTAAAATTTCCCAAATAAAAATAGTCTATCCCTGTGGATGACACTACCATGACCACGACTTACTTTTCCATCCCGGCTTTTGCAAATGGTTCGTAAGTAAAACGTTTGATCGCGAGCCGAATCTTGTCGAAGTAAACGGCGATTGTCATTTAGACCTATGATCGGCTACACAAAGAGAAATTAAAATTCCGCATCTTACTTAAGTTAAATCATTTATTTGTTCACAATGCTAAGAAATATAC